TCAAGACACCACAAAAACAAGTTATTGAATAATTATCACCGGCGCTGCATTTAATCATGAAAACTGAATTTTTGGCATTAATTTTGTGGTTTATTGCGTGTTTATTTATTGTTAATTGCATTGGTGCAAGTAATAAACGCGTACTATAATCATAAGAAAACTGAAGTTGTACTCGACTGGAGACAAAGAAGCCTGTTTAGTTGATTATTTACTTTGTAATAAGGCCTCGTGCAAAGTCGATAATTACGTTTTCTAATTATGAAAATTTAATGAACACTGTATCCCCTGATCAGCAGGGCCAGGATAGAAACGAAGAGAATTAATTTAAAAAAAAAAAAAAAAAATGCAATGACTTTAATAACAAGGATAGTTATAGTTAAGAGAAGATTTAAAATTGTTTAATTTAATTTATGTCTTCTTTTTTGTGGGCAAGTAAATGTCGATGTTATCTAACCTCTCCTTACTACATAAAGTGAATAGAAAGCACTTACGAAACTTATAGTAGATATCCTAAATGACGTAACACCGAAATTGGCTAAAGAAAATTCGTATAAAATGAATTATATATCAGTCAGTCAGTTAGTCAGTCAGTCAGTCAGTCAATATATGCATTGTATCAGCCACAAATATATTCAAAAGACGTCAAATGAATTTATTTTCCGATACTGTAAGCCGATGATCCTTAGTGCATGTAATTATGACTAAGGCGGGCTCGTTACTAAATATACTCATGCACACTTATTAAGAATCTACTGTAATCGAAGAACAAAGTCTTTTAAAATCACAAATCTATTAAGCAAAAGTATCGAAAAGTATTTTGACTAATATGCAATTCAAACATCAGACTGTGTTGAGAGCATTCTATATTTCGATATTATCTGGAGAAACTTTAAAGCCGAGCTCAAGATAATAAAATTATGAGAAATAACTGCATTTGAAGAACACTTTTACGGGGATGCACACATATATACCTACTATATAAGATTGAAAGTAAGACTTGCAAAGTTCATGAACATCCTTTGTGCTTTGTGCTTTGTGTTTGGGAAATCTTTGTTTTAGTCTTTTGCCAACTTAATGCTCGTAAGCAGAGATGCCGACACTAGCAAAATTCTTTCGTTTAAGTAAAAAGTTCGCAACAAAAGCCTGGTCTCACGCGGCGTTTTAGTTTATCCGGTTTAACCCGGTGTAAAATCGAATTCGTCTCATTTTTGAATACCTGAGGAAACCCTGTGCTGGCTCATCGACTCAGAGATGTAAATATCTTTTAATTCATTTAAACCGAACGTGTCGAAAAGATAATCTAAAATAATTAGCAAACTTCGACCGTCCAGCTAATTATGATTCATCATATGCTAACGAATGCTTTAGACTTTAATCCCATTAATTATTCAAGCTTAGTACTTATGCCATGATGGTAGTAAGTTTTTCTCATTTTTATACCCACAACCGACGACTGGCTGTTTATCTACATTTTGCAGGAAGGCAGCTTCATAGATCACATAAAATATGCATAATTGGCAATTCGACTAAGCATGTCCGTCTGTTCGTTTGTCCATCCGTCCATCTGACAACCTATATACAATGTCTAGTTTGAATATTCTCCGGCTTGTAAAAAGGAAGATATCGCCTTTATTTATTAAATTTGGCGAAAACGTTAAAAGTTCTCGCACGCAAGTTGGTACTGAACATGGCCTAAATCGACCGCAGGAAACGCTTACAGTGCAGCGTAAACGTAAAGTATTTTTGATTTGAGTTTTTTCGCTCGTTAACCACATAACGTATGGAAGGCGCAGAATGAACATCTGCATATGTGTTCTGTAAAAGCGGCGAAAAATCAGCCACGCCCACTAAATTTTACTTTTTCTTGTTTTTTTTTTTTTTTTTTTTTTTTTTTTGCACTCTTTAGGATAAAGGTGATGGGTATAAAACATTCGCTCACAGCTTCTCTCCTCACAAATGGTTTCGGTGTAGCGTGGATCGTATCGGCCCAAGCGAAATTAACAGTTAACTGAGTAAATTGACAGAGGTTTTTTAAAAAAAACATTGGCAAAGAAGAGTACAACCTACGAAACAATTGTATTTGTTAAGTGGGAGTGCATTAAATTATGCTTCAGTTTGCTTTAAGAAATGTGCTACATGTCCCAGTAATTTTCCCAATCTGTCGCTTTGTTTTAAAAGAGAAGTTCACCCTTGCATCCAGCTATTTGGTTACGACTTATATTGATAATTGACATCATTCTAGTCGTCTATGCACGTTGAACGTAAGATTTACTTTCTTTTTTATTTTCAACTTCCTTAGGGGAATTCTTTATTCAATTCCGAAAAAAAAAAAAAAAAACGGTTGTAACACCAGCTTATAAAGATTTCTAACCAGTTTTAATATAAATATTATATTAGAATAAATAAACCACATTAATCTTGACGGATCATGCTTTGAAATTGAATTATTACCGCTCTGAAACTGTCTAGCTTTAGCAATGGCTATAAAAAATAAGCAAAGTGACCCCAAAAGAATAGTACACAAGTGAGAATGCAACGAACACTTTAAACGAATTTTTAACACCCGTGTCGCTTAATACGAGAACTCATTGCGGCATTTTCTTTGTAAAGTTTGTAAAACAAAAAATATCGGGTAGCATGGCTTATGAATAGTATTTCGAGTCAACTGATAGTACTAGCTAATCAACAAAGTCTTAAATTTAACAAGAGTAATAGCGTTAGCGAAGCCGAAATCTCACAGTAAATGCATATGGCTTGAGAGAATTGCGAATATATGCGGGTTAGGTGCCTTTGTAGCTACTGAAGCTACCTATTTTATTGTTTACATCATACAGCACTAATGGTACTGATAATAATTTTCGGCATTGATTAAAGCTTGTTTATCTGCCTATCTTTTTATCCGATGTCTATCGCAGCATAGTAAGAACTCCATTGAAAATAGATTAGATTTAACAATTTTCACGACCACCTACGAAAATCGCTGATTAATAGCATCTGAGCAAGATTGGGATTAGATGAATTAATTTCTTAAACGTCCCGTCGTATAACCTTTCCTACGAAAAGTAAGCCTTGACATGGCAAAAATGTCCAATTTTTAATATTTTTTATCGGTATTAGTAGCTTGGCGTAAAAAGTGCATGTAGTGAATTCGGACCACTTAGATATATTTTTAGGTCCCACCATATATAAAGATTCTCGTCAAAGCCAAATAATGTAGGGAGCTTAAAAGTCGGTTTTGCCCAGCTATAATATTTTTGCTTGATTTTCTAAAAAGCTCTACATTCGAAGGCCAAATAGATGACTATAGAAAGGTGTGCGTCCGAAACAGGATCGAAGACCATGGCATAAACAGATAATGAACATATTCCTAGGTAGAAGAGATAGACAGGCGAAAGTATATGCCGAATATATATTATAACCATTAGGTATACGAACATGGCGGACTAAAGGTAAATAGTTGATCAACTTTATATTGCGCCTTATAAAACTTTCTATATGAATATGATTTCCTATATTAATACTCATAAGCACTCACGATTTAATATTAACGAGCACTGTCTCTATTATTAGAGCCAATATTTTTAAAAAGTGTTTTACATAGAGTAGTAAATTTATTATGCCATTCATCTTGCCTGTTGCGCCATATAAGTAAAAAAAAAAATATATATATATATATCTATATATATATGTATATATATCTATATATATATATGTATATATATCTATATATATATATGTATATATAAATGAAAAAATAAAATCCCCTAGTTTTCATTATATAAATGTTAGTATGTCCAGTTACTGGCGTGCACGCGTGATTTGCTGGCTTACAAGCGACGAGCAGTGATGCTTTGGGTTCATTTCATAAAGTGAAATTTATAAAATGTGTCAGCCGTTAAATAATGACAAGCATAGCAAGTAGTAAATATGGTAGAAGAAAAGAAATTATTTTCAGGCGTATTCATCAATAACCAAGCGTTAAAATTTGAATTATGTTTGAATGTTGACACAAACGCAGAAAAGCGCGTTTCTAAAAACAGAAAACATATGCACATATATGTATATATGTATACGTATTCACACCCACGTACAAATATTTACTTACTGGCCTTACTTGATGTCTAAGAAGTAGAGACTAATGAAAATTAAAAATGTTTTTTTTTTTTATCTTTTTTTTTAAATTGTGAATACCGTACATAGTGTGTAAGTTGACTGCTATTGATGCTGCTGGTACATGTCATAAACAATGCAGTGGTGCACACCCTTCGCATTAAAATTGGAAAATCCCATTAAATGGGATTTTTCTTTTTTTTTTTCTTTTTTTTGTTTCTAAATTCAATTTAATGCTTTTTTTTATTTGCTTGCGTTTGTTTTTCGCGCTCATCTTTTGTCAGTGCATGCAAATGCATAGGAAACCAGTAAACATAACATATACACATAAACAATCGAAACAAGCCGGCAGGCAGGCAGGCAGGCAGGCAAGCAAGCAGGCAGGCATAAATAAAATTTAAATACTATATTTAAATTGTCAGCTAGAACCGTTAACAAACATACTCTTACAACCATTCTAATTTTTTTCTCTTTTTTTTCTCTTTCTTAACCTCTCTTCATTTGCTCATCATATACAGGTGTTGGTTGCTAATATAACGCAACCATTCTATTACTAAAGCAAAACGGCTCAAACAACACAACTCAATATTTACAGCGTGCTGGAACAGCAGCACCAGCACCAGCACCAGCAGCAGCAACAGCGTCAACGGCAGCCGCAATATCATCTTCATGTGCAGCAGCCGCATTTAAAATCACACACAATTTTAAGCACAACAACGACTCATCAGCATTTAAAAGTCAAAAATTATCTTAAGTGGTGTTGCTGTTACTATTGTTATCACAATTACTCTTTCACATCCCACGCTTTAAAAAAGCGCAAAATTACTTCCTCAACATTTCGGATTCATCAGCAAATCAACCCAAACATTTACCTCTTAATTTGGTTAATCATGTTATTGGTAGCATCAAATCCATCACAGTTCACCTTATTTGTCAATGCTGCTCCTTTCGATAAATTAGAATTGTCATCGTCATCGTCATCGTCATCACAATCATCATTATCGTTATCTTCGTCATCATTATCATCTGTATTGAATGACGATTTATGGTCTACTTCGCTATTGCCAATCGAAAATAATTTAACTAATGATGAACTGATACTAAGGTCACTGCATAAGCGCCAAACTACATGGCATGAGATTTATGCACAAACAATGCAATCACAGCGACTTGATTGGTTTAATCCATGTGGCGGTCAATACCTTAATCAGCGTCAAGTTAAGAAGGGACGCCGTCCGCCACTTAAGAAAGTAAGTTAAACACAAATTTCCGAAAAGAAAAATTTCTTGTTTATGTATATATGTACATAAGCACATATATATTGTGTTCGTTTTCTAAATCTTCCCGTCCACCATTCTCTCTTGGTTTGTCCCTAAAATTCTCAAAGTCAAAATCGGTTCGGACCATCTTCAAATTGTTTTGCAACTTTTGCGATCAGAAGACTGCTGACCACCGATACTACATAGGTGGGCAGACCCACAGACGGACAGAGAGTACACTCAAATTTTCGCAAATATATTTGCTGTACTTTACGAGTAATGAGCAAGAAACGAATTTGTTATAGCTTTTGAAAAACCGAATTGTCCTCACGTTACGTCTTGTAGGCCTTGCAGGCGGGTCCTTCCACCGATTTGGCTCATTTTCAATGCCTATCAGCGCACATTCACTTTCAATGTTTCTGTCAAATTTGACGTTGATGTCTTAATTTTTAATACCAGGAGAACGTTCACAACACACATTACGCACGCGGACGGACGAAAAGACGAACATCCTTAAATCGATTCAGAATTTGATACTGATCATGAATATATATAGTTTGTGGAGTCTCCGAAGCTTCCTTTTAGACGCTGCACACGTTTTGACGTAACGAATAAAGCCATCATTCTTAAGTGACGGCAATCTACAGTAAAGCCTGTTATTGCGCGGTCGTTTTTCTATGCGTTTTCTACGTGTGCGATTTGTTTTGTGCAGCTCTCTTTTATGTGGTGTTTGGATATGTGTAGAGTTAGAGATAGTTAGATAGATAGATAGATAAAGAGAGAGAGAGAGAGAGAGAGAGAGAGAGATAGACAGACAGGGAGAAGATCCGCGGTTTGAAGTACAACAGTTTGTAGTTGAATTGTTCACATTTGGATCTTATATCCACGTTTAAAATAAGAAATTCATGTTTCTGAAAACATTCCTGTGTGTTATGTAATTAATTATTTTGTTGAGAAAAACACTTTGTGCCTACTTCATAAAGCTTTGATACATTTGCTTAAATATGTTTTGCCAGATTCAATTCATTTTCGATATTTGTAAAGTTTCTTCTTGCGGCTTTTCTTCTTCCTCTCTAAATAAAGACTATCGCGCAATAACAGTTTTCCCGTATATAGGGTTCTATGTCAATACATTCAAAGTGTTTTTGCAAACATATAAAACTGAGTTTTCCTCGCACTACCCGCAAACAATCCATCAATCGGGCAAATGTCGTGGGAAAGTTGAATAAAAGCTGAAAAAGGGCCAACATGCCTGCGATTATCACGTTGTCGGGCATTATGAACTTCTTTTTTATGAAGACGAACAAACTTGAGATTTTGAGGAATGAAAAAAACAAAAGAATGAAGAAATGTTGTTGCACAAAAATTCACCTTATTTTTCGATCAAAATATTTTATTATTATTATTATTAATTTCGCCAGAGAAATAAATTCTAAGACTAAACTCTTGAAAGCACTACCATCTAAGGTTATCGGCTTTTATTAAAAACTATACCGTAAAAAAAAAACTATAACTATAATATATTTTGTTTTTACTGGAAATGTAAATTAATATTAGCGTAACAATTTCCAAAAAGATGACTGCATGAACTTTGCTCCAAAAAGAATATTTTTAGATGGAGCAATAAAAATATATTCCCCTAAAATTGGCTTCTCAAAGATTCGATTAATCTTTTTCGGTCCCTTGTTTGAGCTTATTAAGCGGCTTTGAATATTTCCATGAAATCGACACATATCGTAATTGAAGTTGGAACAGAGTTAGATAAACAGAAATGTTTTAAAACCTATGGTGTATCGTAATTGATTGAATGATGATTTTAGCCGCTTATGTAATAAAAGTACTTTTATAAATTTTGTATCTTTTACAGGCTTTACGGAAGTTACGCAATGTTACTGGACGTGAATTTAAGACCTTAAACATTACAACACCAGCAATTGATATGAGCGATATACGCATTTGGGATTTACATCAGAAAAACTATGGTTTCTTGCCTAAACTGAAGCTTAATTCAAGTGTAAGTATCCACACGAACGTAAATCTAAACCAAAATTTTTTCAATTCCCATCATTCACACGAAATTCACTCATTCATCACTTAGATTTCATTTTATATCTTAAATCGACTGGAAATTGTCCCCCCGATTTGAATACTGATTATACTGATCTACATATATATATATATACATTATGACGTCTCTGAAATTATCTGAATCTGTAATAAGTACAAATCTAAGTGTTTTTGCTTTTCAAAAAGATGAGGTAATCTCAGTTCAATCCAGCCTATTTTCAATATAGATAGACAGATGGACCGACACGCCTAGGTCGGTTTAGAAATTAATATTGATCAAATATATATATATATATATATATATATAGACAGTGAACTTTCCTTCTGGATTTTGCAACAAACGTTTTAAACTGACTATAACCGCTTTCCCCCTTCACTTTCGGTGATGGATATAAAAAGAACAAACAAAAACAAAAAAAAAAAAAAAAATCAAAGCACACGTATTCCTTTCTTTTCAACTTTATACAAATAATTTAATATATGCGAGGGAAAAAAATCAAAGCAGCAACAAGTTGCAACTTCTACCAGACAGGAGTCCATAAATTTTATTTGCAACATAACCACTTTTCATAAAAACACACACACACACACACGCACACACTTTCCATACATATGCATGCTCATGCAAAATAGTCTTCATACCCTTCTTCCACTTCTTTTGCATTTGGTGAACGTTCTACTCTTAAACAAGCTGAACATAATTGATGGCACGTTGCCCTAAGGGCGTTGATTGAGTAGTTTAAGAACAATATTTCGTTTTTTACTCTTGTCTTCCTCCTTTTTTTTTTTTGCAAACTTGTGAACATGTCATGAAAGATTTGTTGCTTTTATTCTATATTCATGCGGAATATATATATATATATATATATATATATATGTATATATATATGTATTTTTAAGTCACTTTTGATAGGTTTTTATTAACCTGTTGTTAAATGTCTTTTAATTCTTCTCACATATAAGAAGGAATAGCAAAAAGAAAGGCGCATTTAGAGAAAGTTGATGTATATGTGTGGATTCTCTACTTCGCTAACGAACTTGATATATCTGCATTACGAGAGCGATTACAAATTGAGCACTTGAACCAATTTCTAGCGGGTTTTCTCCCATCTTCTATATCAAGAAGAGAATCTGTTAATGTTGGCCCATCAACGACCTTCTAAAGGCAATCAATTGAATAGCATGCGCTACTTCAAGGCCATGCCATGATTAAGTGTCGCTGTCACGCTGAAAAATCGCTTTATCAAATTTTCTGGTATCATGATCGGCTAAATTTGCATTCAATTGCCATAACAGAGAATTCCATGATGAATTCACTAAAAACGTTAATCTTAATGATTCGCCTGATTTGCATTGAATTGGTATTATATTCCTTTATATTGCATCGATTTCATCAGTCGTCATGAGTACAATACAGTAGTACTACCCTGGATTTTGTAAAAAAAAAAGTTAGGCTTGTTATACATGGAAACTTTTTTTTTTTTTTTTTAATATTAACGATATCGATATTTTGCCTATCACTGAGCATATTTTTGACTTAATGGGTCCATTTAATGCAAAAATAGAGATAAGTAGGTAAGTATTGAGGCACACATATATCTTAACCAATTGTAAGGCAAAGGTAACAAAAATGATCGCGATCTACCTAATCACATGCCGACAACACATTATTATAAATTGAGATAACCTCGAAAAAACATCGATAGCTTTCTCACATTTTCGTCGATAATCTTTCGCAAGAACCACTTGCATGTTTGATTCAAAGGATCGCCATCCGTTCGCAATGAACGATAAAATTTTGCTTTCAATTTTTTTCAAATTTAACCTAACACACACCAACTCAAACACCTAAAAATACTATATTATGCAGACTTTGTGTAGACTGTGTGTGTGCCGTGAAGCTCAAACATAATGGTTTGATAAAGAGCAATCATAATATCACGAGCTACATTGTCTCCTGAAAACCCTTTAACATTAACGCACACTGTCGCTGTGCAGAGCGAAAACATATGCGTACACTAGTTCTCACTTGAAAGATATTGAAAGAAATGTCCATGAAAGGTGCCTTCGTGTATATTCATCGCTATTCACTTTCACATCGTTATTTACTTTCATATTTTAACTTAGAATAGATTCCTTCAGTCGAAACACTTATCGTCAAACACTGGCATATCGTCAAAACGGGCATTGCTGTCCAGATGATTGTAAATTTTAGTCAATTTTTGTTTTTTTAGGCAAAGTTCTGCAAGAATCTTCAGCGAGTAGCACAGCATGCCTTCAAACTACAAATTTCCATCTTTTGAAAAATCTTCACCGGACTGCTGTCGCAATGTTGTTAGTAGGGTTTTCAGTTTCTAAGATTTTCTTCGATCAATTGTATTAGCATATCAGCAATCAGTTCAACCTCCATGGTTAAGGTCGCTATCAATTGATTGCACAAAAACGTTTAATTGTGTTTAGAAAGAGATACAAGAAAAAGAAAGTTCTCGTTTTATTAATAAAACTTTTTGAAAACAACAAACATTAACTAATTAGGTTTTTTTTTTATATTTTGAAAGCAGTATCACTGCATTATTAATTGAAGCATACTATTATACATGTATGAAGCATTGTTATTGCATTATTGAAATTGTATCGCTATTCGAAAGCTAGGAGTTATCATAAAACGATTGTGTAGAACGATTCGGTGTATCCTTCACTGCATAACATCAGCACTCGGTCAAAGCGTTCGTAACATTAAAAAACTTCTTAGTGGCATACGAAAAGCACTATTATCGGTATACTGTTAGTAGTTCGTGGAAGCATTACTTTTCAAATGATTGTGGCGTCAACTATTAAAAACAAGTAAAGCGATATGCTTCTTCCCACAACATCTCTCTACACTAAGGCAAGAGTATTTGACCGACTTAGTCTCGTTCTATAAACTATGAGTGCTTATCGAAGCGGCACTACTTTCAGAGCGGTTTAAATTACAACAAAAAAAAAAAAAAAGTGGTAAAGTGGAGAATTACGTCACAGCGTATTGCGGTGGGAAAGATGTCAAAGAATTCCATCAATATATTTCCAATCGTAAAGAATGTTTACTAAAGTTTCACACATATGTACTTGTAGTAGTTACTATGCACATGAACGGAGATTAAAATTAAGAAAAGGAAACATTTTTCTACACGTTAAGGAATGCACCTTAATGCCAGATGGATTGAAAAAAAGGGGAAAATATAAGCATTGGTAGGCAGTTTTTATGTTTCCATTGTTGAAAGAAAAAACTTGACCTTCTGCGATCAACTTGAGGTAGAACCAAATTACAAACATCCGCACAATTTCGTTATATATAAGAAAGGCAGGGCAATGTGTGCAAAAGCAAGAAGAAAAAAAATAGGGAAAAATAATATGCAAATTAATAACTCTCGGCCGGCATACCAGGACATCCGATTGAAGGGAACTTAAAAAAGTTAATTAAACTGTATGCAGCTATTTTGCATAGGAAAGTCAAAGAGTCAATGTTTTACTTTACTGCTGCCTTGATGGTGCGGACTTTCAATAAAGAGATCATTTTCGCAAGTGATATTTCCCTTTAAAGCAATCGATGCCAATGCCATCACAAGACACATGTTACAAGCGATTTCCACTTCGCCTATCGTAGCAAGACGTACAAGCGAAATATAAGTAATTTTCTGGTCTCCCCTTTCTTGCATCTTGAGAATGTGGAAGTGCTTTGATTGATTTACTTATTGAAATAAAAAAAGTTGTAGACAACAAAAAAAAAAAAAAAAAAAAAAAAAACTAAATAAATAAAAAACTACTACAAAAAATGTCAGTTAATTCATGAAGTAGTAGTGATGATTCACTCTGGAAAGCGTCAACGCAACCAGTATTAATGAAAATGTATTTGAGTGTATCATAAGCAACAAATATTAGAAATACAAAGTTTACTGCATATATAAGAGTATGAGTGTAGGCGATCTTTGTTTGCACTTTGCAATAATTATGCAATGGAAAAATTCATCGATAGTCTGTCGCCGTTATACAAACACCGTGAAGAGATGAGACATAACTTTGCCATTCCACTTGAATCAATTTATTTACGCTCAGTAACTCATTTCTTCGTCCGACTATCCAATGGATGTTGATACACTCATAAGAAAGCCATAAGCAATTGCTTTGCACGCAGCAAATTCGATAATTATACAAACACACTTATACATATAAGTTTACGAAAAAAAAAAAAAAAAACAGTTTAAAAGATACTGAAAACACAACAAATATCATCCTCCTGATATAATAGAGCTGATCAAAATTAATCTGGGATTTGGCGCCTTTGAATGCATTGAAGCAAAGGTTAGCCAAAGTTCCGCTTAATACATATACAATTTACCGATCACTTAAAATTCTAATAAAAAAAAAAAAATAAATAAAAAAAATCAAGTGATCATCATTACTGAGCTTAATACATACGTGCACAATAGTTGATGACACTGTATAAAAAAAAAAAAAAAAAAACAGACGAAACATTGCAAATAACTGCTAAAATACAAACGAATGCAATTCGAAGGTACACATACATCCATAGACGCGGGCGCGCGCCCAAACACACATAAGCACACGCAAAATAAATAAACTAATAACCCAGTCATCGTTATTAGACGAATTCTCAAACAAAAATCTCCAATCATTTGACGTCACAATGCAGTACTCAACAGCGATTGTAACGGCACCCGCAATATATGCAATTCACAGTGTCTACAAAAAAAAAAAAAAAAAGCAAAAAAAAGACAAAAAAACAAAAATAAATAAAACACTAACACTGCTACGTACACAAAAACACACAAATATATATATAATAATTTAGTAAAATTGGAATTCAAACATAGCTGAATGGGCGATGAATCATCGCATAGATGGCAGGCATGAAATTTAATAGATGATACCTTAATGAAACATCGGAATCCCCCAGAGATCGTTGCATGAGTAAAAATGGCTTAGAGAGCAAAGAGGGTCGCGTCGCAATCTTTAAATTGTAATATTTTTAAAAACTGTGTGAGTACATTCATAAACAAACACTCAAGCAATAAACTTGTTATCGCATGAATGAAGTTGAGGTAGTCTCGCTTTACTATTTAGATGAGAGCGAGCGAACAAACACGCAGAGCAAATAGTCAATTAGTGAAAAACGTTTTGTACGAAGAGTAGGATAAATTTACGATCGGACTGCTTGGGCTGATGTGCTTCGCATTATTGAAAAGTTTTTTTCATTTATATTAATATATGCACACAACCACAAACATACAAACCTAGGTGTACATGTATTTATTGCCTTAACTTGTCCAAGTTTTTCGTTTTAAACAAAGTTAATTGTACACCTACGGTAGTTGTTGCAACACTTGGCGCCTGTAGTGAAGAAGAAGTCACAGTGACCAAATTTTATTTTCATTAGAAAAGAGCGCATAAACAACATCATCAACTCGAAATAACTGAAACATTCTAATGAGAGCAATCCACATTCCATTTAGAAATATTACGTATGGCAAGCATGAATTTACCCTTTGCTTCAATTGGCTTTTCAACGTATTCGAATGCATCAAAGTTTTCATATCCCCATCATACTTCGGCATAAAAGTTTTTTCTCTAAAATAACAAACAATTAACGAATGGCATGAAAATTGCTTAAGAAGAACGAAAGTTTCTTTCAAATCACGCACTAAAGCTGAGAGTACACTAATTCGAAATTAATTTGACTGATGGGAAATTCTCAAAGTTCATTTTCGTCCATAAAATTTTCCGAACTAGTCCTCACCTATATTCGAAACAAAGCTCAGGGTACAAGCACGCACACACTATCAAGAAAGCCAAGAGGTTCGGAAACTGTATCTTTCAACTATAGCACGGAACTGCATAACAGTGCTTGGCCTTGTACTCATAGTTCACTTCATAAGATACTGAAACGAATTATGATAAACATTTAGCACTTGTGGCATAAAAATGTAGCAGCTACAAAGTAAGGAGAAAAGAGTGAAACGTTGAAAATTCAATATTAGATGATCTGGCCTAGACAACCGATGATACTGAAGATATTTGAATAAGTGTGCGAAACGACCGACTCGTGTATTAGGAAGCGCTGCTTGGATATTGTTTAACGAATCCGATGTTGAGATTAACTTATAGACACTATTTAGATTTCCACAAGAGATTTTGAACGCATTAAATAGCTCGTAGTTATACATTGGTCAAGTCTTATGAATATGAAATTTCTCGAAGAACGATTAAGGACGATAAGAACTTAACTTTCCTAACAAGGGCGACGCGTCAACAGCATCGTTTATCGATTTAATTAGGAACGAGATACTTAGGATGAACCTTCGCTTCTCTAGCAAAGAAAGGGCCAATAGCACCAATCCATTTTTATGCAAAGACTAATGGGTCGCATCCCACAATCATTAGGACAAAGAGTAGGAATTGCTTCTGAGCTGATTCCAATGAATCGACGTAAAACCTATAGGAAGGAGACGACACAACAGAGGTATATTTCGATAAAAATATATTTCTTTAGTTGCTTTGCACAAAATTACGAATTTTTTTAGAAGTGTGCACACATATGCAATTAATTGTATATATATAGATAAAAGAAAATTATAACTTAACATATATATTAATTCATTAATTTTATATATGTTTATAATTTTAAACAAACTCATAGTTTTGTAGCCCTGCGCACCTACCAAGACCAAGACTACAATTTGTTGATTGGAAGCGCTTAAGTTTAAAAAAAAGTCAATTTTGTTTATTGCAATTAAACATAAGTATGTTTAAGTGATACAAATCAAAAAAAAATCGTCTGAACTTAAGCCAACTGCTTTCTAAAACAACAACAACAACAACAACAACAATATCAGAAGTTATCGTATCTATCTGATAAATCAAATTTCATCAAAATATCCGGAAAATTGTGACCTGACGTAGATATACATCAGGTAGATAGACATACAAACAGGAAGTAATTCTATATCGATCGGTATAGCAAAACTTAAGTCCATGGTAAGTCATTCTGGTTATTGTACTCAAATTCAATACACATTTACCAGTGATGTATGTATGTCACTTTTTGTATTGCCGCATTAAAACTGTATGTCAATTGTGATGGGTGGACCGGACCTTACAGTAAATCAAACTCTTTCTTGAAATTCAGTTATTTAAAATTTTAATCGCATTCTGCTCGAAGCAGGCTCTTTCGAGTTGAACGTGTTTCTAGCGCTTTCAGTTCTCCACTGATGGCCTAAAAATTTCAGCGATAGCTTCAGAATTGCATTCTCCACTTAAGGATGGAAAATTTTTTCGATTGGAACTGCTATGTTCTTTATGACCTATTAAGTAAAAATTTTTAATTTTTTGTTTTAAATAAGCGAATTAACAAAAATCAACGAACATACGGGCATGTGACGAGCTTGCGCCTAAATGAATTTACTAAAAAAAATGATTAAACGACAGACAGACGGAACTATGGAATGAATTCGGCTAAATCGAGTCAAAACCTTACGCAAATTAAAAATATGCACAGCTTAGGAGGCAATGGATTCACTCGCCAAAGTCTTATGAATTGAATGATAAGCAAAAATTATTCTTCTTTAGAGTTTACACGCTTATCATATGTACAGACAGCAAGTCTACACAACTTACGTAACAAATATCTAACGAAAAAATAAAAAATAGCGTAAGTTGGACTCTTCGACCGGAGCAATGAGTGTAGAGACTTACAAGAGAGCATTAATCTCAAAAATTCATCTATGAATTGGGTATGAGTTGAATTGAAAGAATTACAAATTATAAAATTAAATCTCGCAAAGGTTCAGTATATTATTAAGACTAGTTAATATTTTAACTTTGGAAATTAAATTCTTACTCGTAAATTATGCAAATACTTGCATGGGCTAGGAAAAGTTTATTCAACCTAATTGTTTTCATTCATATGCTTAGTTAAGAGCGCTTTTCTACACCTGATTATTTTACCGTTACACTTCATTAAATTAGTTAATTACCTTTGCAAACTCATCACACGTATATATGCATGGATTGATATAAATATTAACACAAAAATGTTTCATTTTTCTCTTTCACTATACATATAAATGTCTATATACCTACATACATTTGCATACATACATACATACACATTGTATATATGTATATATTTTATTTATTACCTTTTAATTGCAGATTGCCTTACGTCGTTGGCATCGCTATATGCAAATCTATGTGGCCTCATTCGCTTATTTGCGGCGTGCCCAGTTACACTGGGACTATCATAAAACATTGCAACAAAGTGAAGTTGCGAAAGAACTAAACGCATTAAAGAATAGTGCTCGAAATATCTTATGTCACCTTGAAATTGCCATTAATAATACGACCACATTTAATAGAATCCAGAGTAACTTAGCAATTTTAACTTTTAAACGTACAACTATGGAGAAAAAATTGAAATTTCAAACTCCCCTAAAGCATATATCGCCGGCTCTGTGGAAGAGCAATGTCGCACAACAACAACAACAACATTATCGCAATGAACGTACTTATGAAGTGAATCCATTGGATTTGAAGTTCACAAAATCGCATTATTTCAATTTCTTACGTAAAATGATTAAAATTCTTCGCATAAACACTAAGCGAAAGGATAAAAGAGTTTGGCAAACCAGACAAATTTTAAATTGAGTACAATTTTTATATAGATTAGATTAATATTATATACGTAATGTTTCTCTCCTCTCCCATTATTCCTTAAAAAAAAAGTATTATAGCAAAAGTGATTTCTGTTTTTACGGCTTTCTAATTACAGCCTACTTGCCTGTTGGGGATCTTAAATGTTTATTTAGGATTTTCCATTTGGCCTATTACTACTGTCCGGAATTAACATTTACATGTTATATTATTGAATTTTTCTTCTTTTTTTTTTTTTACTTTTCAAACTTATCACGTAAGCTTACAATTTCTTATATAAAGATTTTTTTCTTATCTTTTTCGAAAAACTTTTTATGAACAGCTACAACTCTATTGAGAACTTAGTGGCAAATAAATGAATGGAGCTTTGCGATAATTTCTAACTTTTTACGCTCACTTAAAAACAATTTTTAGACCCCACAACTGCGTTGAGTAAAAGTTGTACAAAATCTAATTCCGATCTCTATTCGATCTTTTGTAAAACGATTGATTATCGCGTAACATAAAGGGGGTTTTCCTATTAACTATTAACTTTTCATTCAAAAAAACCAAGCAAGAAGAAGAAGGTGCTATATCACTGTCGCACTTTTGTTAATCTAAACTTTTTATAAAATGTAAATGATATTTTCGGACAAAAGTAACAATTATATTATATATTTAATTAAAGCAACTAAAGCAATTCTACCAATATTTTCCCACCACACACAGATCTAACAAGCTCTCTTAGTATTATTTAATTTCAATTTATACTTGAACTCCCTTGAAACTAGCGGTTATACAAAGTTCAGTGTAATGCTTTTATTTTTACTAGGGTTTTTTCTTTTTTTTTTTTTTTAATAATATTATTGCATTTGACATATTTTATTATACATTATTTTTTTATTAACTCTTTTAATAATAATTCTTAATTTTTTTTATTTTTCTATTTTTGATATAAACTGTGATATAATCTTAAGTAGTTTAATATGTGTTCCTTCAGCTCTTGTTATAACCATCACTATAGATACATATATTTTACCAAATGCTTACACAATGCACAGTCGTAACCATAAAGGGCATTTTATAGGTGTTAATAACGGCATCAATATCGTTGAGTTTTTCTCTCTGTTCAATTATTTAAAATTATGAGTATGAACCAGAAAATGTTGTTTAGACCATCAATCTCAACTTGATACCTACTTTTTTACTGGTGCCAGCTTCTGTTCAAGTGTCACTTGCATTACTCGATTTGTTTGTTTACAATTAGCAAAAATCTATTCTTAAGTGCTATCGACAAAATAAACTCTATCCTCGCGATGTTATCGAACGCACTCATTTTTAGGTATACGTTTCATATATGCGATGTGTTTATTGCAACAGTAGTGAACACAGGCGACCACAACTTTCAACAATGAACATTATCGCTTGTTATGTCGCACTTATACTATACTAAGATGCTTACGCTTACATAGCATATTACATTTGTACATGAAATATATTCTGTTCAATGTTGGTGTTTAGACCGCAACAAAGTCAGGCATATGATAGGCATCGACAGATTCGGACAAAACTGAATCGTAATATTTTCTTTCTCTGTAATATTTTATGAAATTCGTATAATTATGTTATATATAATGTATATATAGAATGCGTAGATGTTAATTTTGTATTTATTTAAAATAAATAGAATAAAATAAAAATAAATTTGCGTAAAGAAATTCACTCTACACACTCCAATTCACTGACTCAAGTATATGTTACAGGAATGTAAAACAATTACAGCAGCGTAAATGTTTCAAAATTTCGAATAAATGTTCAGGAGAGATGGATTGGTAGGATTGGAAACAAACCTTACTAAGGAAACTAAAACTCCGATCATATATGAGAATCGAATACGTTCAATGAAATCGAACTGGAATATGTTAAATGCAATTGACTACTTGATCCATAAAATTGAAAATTTAAGATGAATCAACGTATCTTAATATATGCTATAGTGTAGTGTTAGTAATGGTAAGATAACATTGGCAGAGGAATTGGTAATCTATATAAGTGACGTCGGCACGGATTTATTTTAAATTCGACAAAATCTTTACAGAAAAGTTTTTTGCTTTTTGACAATCTTACGCGCACAGCTCTACTTTACAGTAGGGCACCACCATGCATCGCATGCGTTAAGAAAAGACAATGGCGATGTTGTATGAAGTACACACATACCATATATCACCATATTCTTTCGTATGATCGAGAATTTGTCCTCAATGTCTGTTGCACAGCTATACAAAATATCGATTTAGCGACTTAAGGTCCATTAAATATTGTTTCATTCATGTGTGGATGACAAGACGAGATGATAAGTGAAGCGGGAATATAATCGATAGCGTCTATTATTTGGTTAAAGTCTTCCTTGTCTTTTTAGAAGTATGTTTGCTTAAATCAAAAGTTCCTATCCTCAGACGGTTTTTAACGACTCTTTTTTTTCAATACTGTAACTAAAACGTCATACAATATATCAATGCATTTTGACGGTGTTGTGAAATATTCGAATACTGAGATTCCATCGTCGATCATATGATAATCATTTTAACTCAATTAATGCACTTCATCGATGCTCGCCGACAGGAACATTGATTTCAAAAATTTCTTCTAATTATGAGTTGATTGCGGTTTTTTTGGCTCACGGAAAAAACACCGTGTAGTGGGTTCGCGTGGCTCCAGGTAAGTAGAAAGCCTCCACGAGAGATCGACCAAGAGAACAATGCGAAGTTATTGAAATGAAAAGCGCTTTTTTATGGCATAATACGAGCACCATGCATACGCGGCAACCAAAGCTTGGTAAGCCTAATCAGAAAACCACAACAATTTAATCACGAAGGTAGTAATAAAGTAATGATAGTATTCAAGTATAACATATATTTAGATAGATGAATTATCAGACAGACAGAAGGGCAAATATGATTGGTATGGTATAATGGAAATTGTGTCTATTGCAAGCCCGTGCGGGTATTGCACACATTCGCACAAACATCATACACCCAGTACAGAAACTGATACAGAGTATGAAAAACTTTTCATTGTGGTATGCAGAAGGAATTCTACTGTTCAGACTAAAAATACCTATAATCGGATTCCTTAAAGTTAATCTAATTATCACATTCCTCCTTATGGACAAAGTAGATAAAAAGTATGCAAAATTCGCGAAATCCTTTCACACATCAGGCACCGAAATGTTTATATTGTGTTTCTCGTTTTTACTTAAAAACAAATAAATATAGTGACCAACGCATAAAAAGTGTAATAGAATCGCAGCATTATTGGGGGCATGGGTTCGAAACCTACGGTTGCGCATTTTTTTTTTTTTTTTTTTTCTTGAATTACAAGAAACAGACAAATCGCTTTTCGCATATTGATAACGTAAGAACAGAGTTAATGTAATCAGGAAATGTAGTTTTCCTTCAACGCATCAGATTGCAAGACGTTCTACCATTTTTGCAACATAAAAGACTTATAAAAAAATTATCCAAATCTATATGGCTAACGTGTAATCTACAGGTTAGGATGGCCGAGAAACACCCAAAAGGCCCAGGTTCGATTCCTACTATGGTAGACCACCATGGTGATGGTGCAGTGCTATCCATTTATTCTTAGTCGAGATTGAGGACGCAACAAAGACTTTGTAAAAATAACCGCTCCATAACCGACCACGATTTTTTTAATTAAAAAAAAAAAAATCCAATTTCTATTAATTTATTTCTACTTCATTTCTGCCAACAAACTCAAACTGACAAACAGTTTACTTTCTCCAAATAGTTTTTACAAGATTGCCATCAAACTTGAAACTGAAACTATTACTAATCCCTACAATGGCATCATAGCAAAGTTACTGTAATTGTGCGGATCGACGCAATAATGTTGTAGAGGACCAAATTTTGAAACCTTCTTTTGATAATAGTATGAAATAACGTCTGTTCGCCATTAAACGCAATAATGTACATATAGCAAAATAATTGATCTTGAAGGTATTGAAAATTCTTCCCTAAAAATTCGGTGGTAGAAGTCCTAATTGCGGAGAAGACGATTATGTGTTTTTAGATGGAACTGCCGACCAGCGAGGAAAGTATTGTAAACAGATTAACAGCCAAATATCGATACTGATATCTATATATAAGAAAATGATGTTGGTATTGAATGCGATTTTGGAGTAACAAGGTTTGATTTATTTATGCCAAGGCAAGCAAAAATACAGACACTATGTTTTTTTTCAGGATATGTTATATATGCAGATATCTTGGAAAAAAACAAAAAAAATACGCTGCGAAAAAGTTTACTTTACTTCTAAGTAGTCTCTCCGGAACCGTTATAAAACACAAATGGCGAGCTACTTAATTAATATATGGAAATTCAAAAGCAAAATACATATATTGTGGCATTGAATAATTGAAAAACTGCGCCATCTTGCGCAATTAAAAATAAAAATGGATGCTCGCAAATTGAAGGGCCACTTGTGTTTCCCTGCCAAGCTGTCTTCCTTATACGAAAATTACGGGCCAGAAGCGTTGGGCTTATAAAAGACTAGAGTCGCGGCTCTTAAAATATTGCATCCGAAAATTTAGATAAATTTAATTTTTTCTTCTTTAAATCTCTTTATTATTCCGAATCAATTTCCCCCCAAACTCAAACAATATGCTTTGTTAATATCGGCGGAAGGGATTCATAGCACAAGACGACACAATGATCGAGGCTCTTCATCTTTTGCACGATATTCGCTCGATTGATCGATTGTCATATGCTTAAATCCAACGAATGATTTTGGCTATTGGACTCTACGTCAGCGGTCCTTCTATGCAAAAATTCAAAACTGTTGGCGTGACAGTACGCCATCTTAAACTATACTAAGCAATTCAAATTGCTTAAGTTAAGCTTAAGATGTAATGGTGCGTAGAACTGGAATATGTCCGCCACGTCAAGTAACCTGATAACGCGCCTCGTGCCGCACTTTGTGGATTTTTTGAAAG